ATTGTTCTGCTTCGTGCTTTGACAGAGTGTGTGCATTGAAACAAAGACATGGAAATGAAGCAAAATCAGAAAGAAGAATATATAGAACGTCTGCGACTCAAAGTAGTGTGAGAAGACTGTAGAAGGACTGCTTAGAGTGGAAAAACTTTCCAAAATACAGATATGTTCACTTGCAGCTTTTTCTTTCCACACTGACTCCTCATGAAGTATCTTTAATGAGCTGGGAAATTCTTTGATTTCTACAACCTCACCGGTTAATGTGAAAGAATTATATTACAAGGATATCAGGGTAAGTAAGCATGCAGATAAGCCCTTCCCACCAGCTAATTATTTTTCACTTTGCTTGGATCAGAGGTCTGCCTGCACATCCTTGTGGCTGGCTGCCATTCCACTTCAGTGTTGAGAGTCAGCCTCATAAAGCTCAGTCACCCAGCAGTGGCAGCGTGCCACCAGTTATCTTAATCTCTTATGTTTCGGTTTCCACATATGGAGGCTGAGCAAGAGTCTTAGTTAAGTATGGTGACGCTGTGCAGACTGCAGAGAAAACGAAAGCAAAGGTACTGGGAGAGATAAAAGAGTCATGGGTGCGGGCGTTTATCAGAATTGCAAAGTAATCTGCTACCGAGGAGGTGTATTTGTGTATCTACAAGCTTGTTTTCATATGCATTATTGCATTATGGTGCACACACATATCTGTAAATATCTTAATGAGTGTGAATTCATACTTATAGGTTCATACATAAACACATTTTAGCCTATTTTAAATGTGGAGGTCACAGAATAAATCCCAAAAGGCTCTGTGTGGTTTTTCTTTCCATAAAAAAATATAGATACCTACTAAGAAAACTCCATTAAATCCAAGTAAACACACAGCGGATTTTCCTTTTACTGTCAAACGTGTCAGCAGCAGAATACTTGAACTAACACAGGATTTACCATTTAAATTAAGTCCAGGAGGCAGCCCGTTAGTGGAGGCTGAGACTTAAGCCTCTGTGTCATAAGCCCCAGGCTTTTGTCACATTTAAATTTAACCTTTCTCTTTGCTTCCAGACCTCCACTCGGCGATTCTCACCTCTTTCCAATAGATCATCCAGCTAGAGAATAAAAAGCTCAGTACCTGTAAAATCCTCAGAGATTTGCAAATTAGGATTTTAGCTGATTCAAACCTTGTCCCTTTTTGTCTTGTTTGATGTCTGATTTAACTTTCCTTCTGTGCTCCTTTTTCTCCTCTAACCTGTCCATCTTCCCTAATTTCTTCCATATATTTCCATTTCTAGGACTCTGTCCCATCCCAAATTTGTCACCAGATGTACGTCTTGGGTTTCGAGTGTCAGATAAGCCAAAAGATACTTGAGAAAAGGGAGTGGTACATCAGCAGACAGCACCTCTGTCATAGTCATGCTGCAGACCTGTTTTGCTGCAATCTCTTTCCTGGGAGACATCTGAAGGGACCAAGCTCCCTGATGCTCCCTCCACCTCTCTGTCACTCAGTGAGCATCCTGGAGGCCCTTTGTAAAATGTTCTGAAGAAACTGTGATGCTTTTAGATCATTTTCCCTGGTGAACCTGGTCATATGTATGCAGCATGTCTCTACTACCACCAAAGGGAATATTCTTATGAAGGTCTAAGGAACCTGGTGTTTAAAGAAGGCATAAGTAAGTGTCTGTCCACCATTCTATGTACTCTTTGCTGTGTATGTTCCTCCAAAACGCATTTAGGTTCATGAGGCATGCATATGAGGGTGGTGGTTATTGAAAAAAAAAAAATCCATTTCCTGGAGTGGTTGAGATACATTCAGATGTTAACGATAGCTCAGCATCACGAACCACCTCCACATTTATCTCTTACATTACCTTAAACAGTTTCTGTGAGGGGACATAATTGACTGCATGAGAAGTATAATAAAAATTTTTACCACAGTTGAGTAATACAAGACTCCACCTATATAGATAACCCTTGCTACAGACACCTAGCAATTTAAAGGAATACTGGCTTACTGCTGGTTGCTCATAAAAACCAAGGAACAGGTTTCCTACCTAGCTGTATGATCCTTCTCTTGACTCACTGAAGCAGGTCACCATCCTCCTCTTGACTCACTGAAGCATGGTCCCCATAAACAGAATGTGCAAGTTCTTCTAGAAGTATGAAAATTCACTTGTGTGGCAACCTTGTCTTCCTGGTTTTATTAGGGTTAAAGCAACTACTGAATTTGGAAGGGATTAGTCTTCTCACATTAGGCTAACAGAGCAATATTTCCACTTTTCTCTTTTTATTTATTTATTTATTTCCTTTCGGCTTTTTGGAGACACTTGAAATTGTTGCATTGCTGATTCCTTGCTTGGACGTTTTTCCTTCTCCACTTTCTGTGGCACATTGCTGCTTTTCTGTCAGGAGCTACTGCTGCTAATCAAGGCAGTCCTTGCAGATCAGACTCATCACCTCTAAGCCTAATTCACCCCTGCTAATTTCTAAGTATGTACTGTAAGGACCGGGCAGTGAAGGGAGTACCAAAGCATTCCTCTCTCCCTAAGAATCATGCCCGCGAGCTCAAAACCTAATTAGCCAATCCCGGATTTGTTTCAACAACCTCTTGAGTGTTTGAGCTCCTCTTCACTCCTCTACAGTCGGAAATAATGCAACCTGCAGGGAACAATTCTGTGCTGAGAAGGCAGGAGTGACCTCGAGGGCAGACTGTGTTGGCACTGCCTGATGACCTGCCACAACCATTCTCCTCCTTGACAGACAGTCCTGCCAGTGCCTGAATCCCTGCTCCCTCTGAACTTCACCATTCGTGTACACTTCCAGGTTTTTTTCTGTCCTGGAAAAAACTGAAAACTGAATACTTTTTAACAGCAGAATACTGAGAGCTTGCTGCAGAAATACAGATAAATCATTCCCTTAGCTTTAAAATCCCACATCCGGCTTGGCACCAAGGAAGGCAGTCTCTACATCGTGCATCAGGCCAAAAATAATTGTGTCACAAAGCCAGAAAAAACTGTGAGTGACAGAGACTGATTCTACCTAAGCCATGTGAAGAATTCTTTTGTGATCCTTTTCCTTTGCAAGCCAGTTTTGGGTGTGTCAGAGGAAAGTTTCTCACTAGAAACCAGCATTGTTTCAGTAATTTTTCAGATTAAATGGGAAATATTCTTTTGCTGCATCTTGTGAGAGTTACAGAACTGATCACAGTAAGGTGATGCCCAGTTCATAATGCTGAGCAGATTTCTCGGGGCACTGGAAAATGCCTGTTCTATTTGCATCAGTGAACAGATATAATGACCTATAGCTTCTGCAGATACTCCACAGGTGGCTCAGGTCTTGCTCTCAGCATCCACATCAGTACAGAGATCTTCTCAGTTGTGATATTTCAAAAATATCTGGATGTTCCCTCACAACAAGGTGCCCGCTGCCAAAAACTCTCGTGGTGTTATAAATAAGAAGCTTGACTAGGCCAATAATCAAGCAACAATCAATTTATTAATTAATATGGTAAAGTATGAGCAAAACAGCGCTGGGTACAGTGGGGGAAGTTTTCCCTCCAACCGCACACCGATGGTTGAGGTTTACAGGTATTTATAGGGGTACACACAGCTTTCTCAGCAGTTTCGATTCCCGGCAGTTTCTATTCCCAATTTTTATGTCACAATTCTATACACTATTGTGAGTTAGTTTTTCTCAGGATGTACCCCAGGAAAGAGTATCCCCAGATGGTGGGGTTCGACTTCCCAAAGAAGTAAGAAGTCTTTCAGCTGGTGTGGTCTAGACTCCAGATGTGTGCCCACCTTTTAATTGCAAGGACTATAAATCTCATGACGGTGATGTCCAGCTTCCCTTGAAGCTTATCAGTCCTTGAGTTGATGTTCAACTTCCTTTCTCAAGCTGCTTTTTACTGTTTTGCTAAGGTGATGAGGTAAGCATATTTTCTTTACATACATTCTAAACCTATATTTTTAAAGTTCCTTATTACAAGCAATATTCTAAAAAAAGGTTATTATTGCAAAACTGTTTAAATGCTTAGCTACGTGCAGAAAGTTCCTGTCCAGCAGCAACATAGTTAAAGCTTTAATTCAGATTATATTTGCAAACAAAGGATAATTTCCAAGGCCTTTTTCCATGCTTTACTCCCGCAGTTATTTTTTAGAATTCATATTTTAATTGTCCCATGATCGGTTTCCACACAAATCACAATCACAAGTACACACACTGCCTGTATGTACCTGACACGAAACACACCTTTGTATCTCACAGTGGGTGGTGGGAAGCATGCTTAGAGTCAGCCTGAGAGCGGCTGCCCAGTCACTGAGCACACCTCAGTGGTCACACACACGGAGTGTCTTCCTTGACTACGGGAGGACACGGGCTCAAGGGGGTGTGAGAGGTCCTTGGAACTCCACGGGAGAAGTCCCACAAAGGGAAATGGTAACCACCACCACCTGCTGGATTCCACAGACTCGCGGGCTCTGCACATGATGTCTTCTGTTTACCTCTTTCCACTGGGCTCTGTTCAAGTTCCTCGTGGCATCTGGGTGTCAGAAAAGTGACATGCCATGCCACAGCTGTGTGGCTTGATGCCGTTTGTGTAGGTGCTTTTCTCTCTTGTCACACTGGGGTGACTAGAGAAGATTTGTGATTCTGTTCTGGCGACAGTTTAAAAAGACATTTCTGTCTGTAATTTCTGTAATTTCTGTCTGCACTGCAAAAAGTGGCTCCCTGTCAATCACAGCTTCTGGAAGGTAACCTTATACTCAAAGCCAGATCAGTTTCTGAGTGGGATCATCTCCATTTGCAGTTCTTTGCTGCCAGGGGCTTGCTTTCAGCTTCAGCCAGCTGGATAGTACAAGTGTGAAGAAAGTCACCAGAAGGAAATGCTCAGCTAATCAGCAGCATTAATAAGGCCCAAAGATCAGAATTATGATTCAGGAATAGAAACTGAAACTAACATAAGACTTATAAAGGCACACCAGTCTCCCAGGGAGAAATACACAAATCCAGAAATACCCATGGCTGCTGCCAGCGCCAGAGGTAAGTACATTTATGTGAAAGGCAGGCCTATTTCCCCATAATCAAGATATTTACTGTAGTTGTATCTAGAGGACTGGAGTATAGACACAAATGTGTTTTGTTTGCACGAGGATACACAGGAGACTGATGTGGATTTGTGTTTTATTTGAGTACATTACTGTATCTTGGGTCCAGCTTCAAAATATTAATATAATTTTGTTAACCTTGGTATGGCAGGAAGAATTCAAAATCCAAAAAAACTTTTACTGTGAAAAGAAGATAATTTAAGAATGGAGTAATTTAGTTAGCTTATATATTCATCTATTTTATTTTCATTGTGATAAACAGCTAGAATATTCTTCTTAAAGAATCAGAGCAATAAGGCTCTGCAAGTAGTTGATCACGCCTCTGTTGATGTGGAAAACTATTTTCTTTGTGTTAACATGTAATTTTACTCTGTATAATTCAGAATTTCTCATCTTCACGAGCTAAGCTCAGAAAAATGCCTTTAGTATCTTAATTCTAAGTATATTTTAAAAGAAATCTTTATTGTGTATAATTCATAAAATCAAAAATGAAAAATAAAATTAATTATTTTTATTTTATATACACTTAATTTTTTTTTTTAAATTATCAAATAAGATGATGATTCCTAGATCTTTACATTTCCTATTGGTGGATTTTTATAAAATAAATAAGTAGCCTTGATAACCTGCAGCTGTTTTCCTCTAGACACTCAGCTGGGAAGGGATGAATAAGTCATGGGGTCAAAGTTGCTTGCCACTATGGAAGATAAAATGTGTATAATCAGGCAGGTCTGTGTTGCCACCCTGTAGGTATTTGTTACCCTCCTTTCTGCACCGGTATTTTTTTCCTTGGCATTGATTTTTTTAAAGTTTTTTTGAAAGTTACAGATTAAGTAAAGTTGGGAAGTCAGTTGTGGAAATATTTTTGTCTGGACTGCCAAGATTATGAGTACCAATGAGAAAATGGCTCAAGCTTTGCCTGTCTCATAGAAGTGGTTTGGAAGATTTAAAGGGATAAGACATTTGATTTTTCTCTTTGATTAGTCAGGGAAAAACAGATGCAGTACTGCTGAAATCAGGGAATTTAAACTTGAGTTTTACACAATCAACCATAATGTGCTAACTGATCAAGGGTTGGTGTACAGCATAGTTTAAACAACCATCAAGTTCAACTTCCAGGTAGGAGTCCACACCTCCTGCATCCCAGAGTGCCTATCCTGCTGTGCTGTGATTACTTACTGGCCCCTTTCAGAGAAAAGAGATTTGACAGGGACTGTGTGGAACTGAAAGGGGTCTGGACAGAAAGGGTAGAGGAAATTTTGTTTTCTGACCTGCTATCCTCAGTGACTCACAAATCTTTTCTACACAGGTCCCTCATCCAGAGAGAACAACCAAGGGTAAGAGATGTAGCTCTGTCACTCACTGCTGCCTGAGCTACTCAGCAATTTCCAGAGACAGCCTTGTGCCTTGTTTTATTCTTACTATCCCTTTCCTCAATCTTCCTTTTCCAGTTGCCTTGCTGCTTTGACTGGTGCTGATCTCTGAGTGGCGATAGGTTGCTTACCCACCCAACAGTTCTCGAGAAGGTGCTGGGGGTGTTTGGAAGCTTTCATCAAATTCCAGTTCTAGATCGCTAAATCGCAACGTTCCTCAAGCTGCTCATTTCTGATGGGAAAAGCTGGGAGTGGGAGTCCAAACATCATTGAAGTGCTGGGATCACAGTACTGCTGGTACTCTCCTTCAGGTGGAAGATACAGCCAAGAGACTTCCAAAGAAATTATTCGCCCAGACAAAACGGACGGGTGGTATGCCTGCTGTATGAAATCAGGTGGAGAAGCGGTTCCATCTGGAGGAACTGGTGCTTGAACAACACTGAGCAACATGCTGAAGTCAACTTCCTGGAAAATCACTTCAGTGACAGGCCACAAACTTCTTGCTCCATCACCTGGTTCCTTTCAACTAGTCCCTGTGGAAGGTGCTCCAGCAGGATTCTGGAATTCCTGAGGTCACACCCTAACGTGACCTTGGCAATATATGCAGCCAAGCTGTTCAGGCACCACGATACCCGCAACCGACAAGGTCTCTGCAACCTGAGAATGAATCGAGTCTCTGTACATATCATGAGTCTTGAAGGTAACCCAGCTACTCTTTGTCCAAGTGTGGATTGAAAGTTCTGGGGTTATGTGCACTCTTAGTTTGTAACAGAGGTGATGGCTGGCTTTGGGGAGGACTAGTGAGTGCAAAAATGTCACTCTCTTCTGCCTTGTTTTTTCCCCAGTCCTGTATAGCAGCAGGACCAGAATGGTCATTTCCTCTTGCCAAATTTGAACATGGACGTGTGGAGGTTTCTTTAGCTATCCACACCTCCTTTATATGCAGTGTAAAATCCTGTCCCTCCTAGAATACACATGCAGATGAGCTTGCCAGCTGCATCAAGTAATTGGTTTCCCCTGGTAGCTGGAGAAGGAAACTTGTCTAAAGGACACTTGCAGATGATGCATCACAGCAGGTATGTCTTGCGTGTGTCTTGCCTTTTTGTGTGTATCTTGCTTGCCTGGTGATGGCTGTAAAAACAGTCCAGACAAGCAGCTCACAAACAGGAATGTATATTTGAAGAGATGAACCTCACACACCTGTGTGGATACTGAGCACTGGAGTGTGGAGCTATGAAACCCACCAGATCGAATGTAATCTTAAAGGACATTACTTTTATATTGAGGGTGCTGTCTCTGGGATTATAGCACCAGAGCATTGACAGAAGCTCTGGCCATCCTATCAACACTAAGATCAGTATGAAACTGTTAAGAGTGCTCACTCCAGCTTTCCCCTGATCATTGGGATAGTCAGACAGATCCGTAACTGAAGCAACTTGTCTTACCAAAGCCGTGTTCTCAAGCACAAGGCTGACAAAAGGAGAGCCTGGCCAGCTCTGACTGCATGTCCCACTTCCCTTTTCACTCCTGCCACTTGCTGATTCCTTCTCTCTTGGCTTTATGCCAGAGCATGCTATTTGTGATAAGGGTTGCCCAAGCCACCACAATGATCAATTTCTGTCTCTGGCAATTCATTTTTAGACATATTGCTACTTTGTAGAGTTTTGGTTCCCCTTTCCACTAACTTATTTGTGTAGTTATTTGTGCACACCTTGTATGAATATCTTTGTCCTTTACTGTATTCTTACTGAGAAACAAATGACTCACTGGCATGATAATGAAGAAAGAACTGGGCATCCTTTCATCAAGAGTGACTGGGTATCTCTCTTCTTAGATTACAGGTACTGCTGGAGAAATTTTGTTGCATACCAAGCTGGAGAAGACGATTATTGGTCCCAGAACATCAATGTACACTTCATTCTGAATAGCATAGAACTCTTACATATCTTTTGGGTAAGCAGACACCTGAAAAAAAACCCCCAAGAGTGAAAATAAATACAAAAAATCCAAGGAAAAGGAGATTTGGATGATTCCAGCAATGGTGTTAGCAGAAATGATAGTAGGAAAAATAAGCATGGGCTTGAAGCTGCATAAGCAGAAAGGCAAGCAGGCAAGAGATTGCTAGAGGATTATGCTGCCACATTGTGCCTTTGTGGCCAGGAGCAGAGAAGAGAAGAGATTTAGCACTACTCTCAGATTTTAACTAAGGAAAGGGTACGTTATTTCAAGCCTTTGCGTGAATCAGCTACCAGTTCATTAGCTTGGAGCTTACCGGAGCTATTTGACCCCAAAAGTTGCTTCAGCTCTGTAATCATGATTCAAGTATTCTCTTTTTGCCTCAGGACAGGGCCATGGATTTCAGTTAAGTTCTGAGCAAGTTCAAAAGTGGATTTACCTTCAGGATCAGAGTTTACATATTAGAGTATAATATGACCGAGATCTGCTTTCCATTTTTCTTGCAACCCATACAGCTGCAGAAGTTATTTGTACAGCCTGATATCCTACTCAGAAAGAGGAAGTGGTGTACTGAATAGGAGAGAAGACCAGGACTGGAGTAAACTGAAGGGCTCAGCAGTTTTTGCTTTGTGGGGCAAGCCAGTTCTTGCTTGAACTGGTCCCTCTGTGCAGAATGGATGGCAGGAGGTGGAGGAAGGGATGCACAAAACTGCTGGCAGGAACTTAGAATCACGGACACAAACCTAACCTGTTTGTAGGATGCTATGATTGCCTTGTTTTATTTCTGGCTGAGGAAAAGGTGCACATTACACTTCACTTCAGTTCCATCCACCCCAAACATTACACAGGACTTTTGGTACCTCAAGACCTGACCTTTCCATTTCTTGTCTGAGTAAGACATTCAGGTGACAGGATACGCAGTCAGTAGCAATATCCAGTCAATCAGCTGATCTAACAAAGTACTTTATGCAATGTAATGGTTTAGGAGACATTTTCCCCTTGGCTTTCAGCCTTTCTGAGTCTCCCAGTGCCCGAGATGATTAAATAATTTAGCAGCTTACGCACGATCAAGTGCGTGGTGCGATGCCTGCCGGGAGCGGAGCAGAGCTGTCTGCTCAAGCTCCTGAGTGCTGACAAACTGCTGCTGACTCAGCAGCGGTACAAGGGCAATCTGCCCTTCAGGTCTTGGTTTTAAAGAGCCAGCTAACAAATTGCCTGTCCCAGCCAGGCAGCCTTGATGATTCCTGCAGAGTCCTGCTGGCTGGGAAGCCTGCTGGAAGTCAGGCACTTGCTCAGCTGCTCTGCTGTCTCAGCTAGACACAAGTCACCCCTCAAATGAACGTGAACAGGGCCCATCATCAGTAGTTCTAACTACCAGCCCTCCACAGAAGGAATGGGAATGTCTGTGTGCTCAGCCCCTTTGAACAGCCTGCCCCATTTTTACTAATTATGCAGAGGAGTAACGAGGTGAGTGAGTTCCAGGCGTGTGCTCCAGAGAAATACGTGCCGTTGCATCAAGCCCTGGCCTCCCTGGCAGAAGAAAAACACTGAGGAACCAGAGGGGATTTGGTGGAGCCTCACTGCAAAGGGCAGGGGACGGGGGCACTTGTCCTACAAGGAGAGGGAGAGTGAACAGGCTTTCCTTGACCAATAGAGGAGGAGGCTAAGTGGGATCTAGCTGCAGTTTTCCACTACATGAAGGCAGTAAGGACAAAGCCAAACTCTCCTCGGTGATGCAGAGATAGAAAACAAGGCAACACACACAAGCTGCAATGAGGGAAATTCCAACAGGATTGAAGGAAAACGTCTCCCCTGACAATGGTGCTGTACTGGAACGTGGAGAGGCTGTCACCTCCATCCCTGGAGACACTGAGGACTTTCCTCTGAGCTGCCAGATCCAGCCTTGGAGTTAGCCATGCTGCAAACATGGTGTGGTACTAGAAACCTCTGGTGGGGGCCTTTCTAACACCCCAAAAAATCTGCCTTTCCACAGGATCCAACTCAACTCCCCCTGCATTCAGCTATGCAAGTTGCCACCTTTTAAATGTTTCTGTTTCTAAATGGTCTGTATTTCTAGGAGTGGCCTACATGGCACAGTAAATTATGAGGTGCTAGCCTGTTGTCTGGAAAAATGTATCTTGAGGGAGATTATTTAACACACTGAAGGAGGATTAGAGAGATCTCCTGAAGCAGATGATTTATTTTCAAATTCTCTATCATGCTGAAGAGACAGCTTAAGATTTTGGTATCAAATTTTTAATGTTTTTTTTCTTCCTCCTAGGGGCTTCCTCCATTTCTGGCAAACTGAATGCTAATGGGCATCACCACCATGCCTTCAAGCTCAGTTTGTGCATCTGTACAAGACCAGAAATGCCAGTCCCTGGCAGTCTTTTCTTCTGCAGCCTTGCTAAGTTTCTTCTGCCACCAGAGAAGACTCCTATCGCTGTCTGGGCATTGCTAAGTATTGAACAGAACAGAAGGAGCACATGAAAAGCCATCAGGAAACTCGGATGATGCAGCCAGGCACCCAGGACGCTCTGGTCTTTATAGACCTTTTTGAGAGTCCAGTGGGATGGACACCATGCCCCATAATCAGGCCTCCCACATCTGCAGATTCTGCAGTCAGATTCTGCAAGCTGAGATGCCAGCATGTAACATTTTTCATGCTCTGATCTGTTCCAAAGAAGTAATCAGCCATGCATTCTTGCTTTCAGAATTTCTTACGAAGATCACTTTTATGGCTACATGTGTATGTTTCAGAATATATTTCATACTATTAAAGTATTTATGCAATACTGTAATAGTACTTCATTTTAAGGTTTTTATTATGAGTGTAAACTTTATTTATGACTGTAAAACCAGTGTAATAAAAGGGAAGATGTCAACATTGTGGAAACTTTGCTTTTCTTGTTCAGCTCCTTGGTAGACATCCTTCCCTTGTAATTCCACACTCTGGAGACGTAGGTGTTCTTTGTGTTATATTTGCCCAATTATTGAATATAAAAGAAAATCAAACGAAATTAAACGTAGCAGCAATTTTAATTAAGTAGCTTAAAAATATATAAAATTGAATACACTCGAAATAGTGACAATATAATTTGGTTATAATAAGGAATAATTTTGTTCTGATAATAGCGCTCAAGCAAAAATAACAGCGTGGGGTACGGAGTGCAGGGCTTGACCCCCGGCACCTCACGCACAAGCATGCCAAGCCAAAATTCCCCCTTTTATGCTCTATGTCATCACCATCTCCTCCCATTTTCTGTTTGTCACGCCTACATCATCACCACGCATGCTCCACCATTCTTTTAGGGGGTCACGCCAATCTTTGGGGGTCTTCTCTGAGGAAGGCCTCTCCTCTTCCTCGATGTCCTTTGATTCACCTTTTGGATTACACATGTGCACCAAACTGGTATAATGTAAGCCAAAGCTAATATACTATAAGCCAATATTATGTTCTAGCATCAAAGCAATAAATCTCACAAAATTAATATTTCCCTGGGACCCAACCAAATTTTCCTTTCTTTTGGTTAATTTTAGTAATAGTTATCTCTTGCTTCTTCCTGTACTGAGCATCTGCAGGAAAAAGGTGGGGAGGCCCTCCTCCTTCTTTTGGCATTACACTTTTTACTGTTTTACTATTTCCAAATATTAATTATTGTATCAGTATAGATTACTGATTCAATTTTGTCAGCACGAATCACACCACACGAATCACACCTATTTACCACAATTGCAAACTGGGGAACCAAAGTAAAATGGCTCTACTTTTCCAGCTGGAAACACAGAGTGGAATGGTGAAGTAGGAGATACTGAAAGCTCTGAGCTCTCTCTACTGGAAGAAGGCAAAAAGAAGATACAGGTGTGTTGGGTTTTGCAGCAGTTTTGAATTTGAACAGCAAATAATGTAGATCATCTGAATGAATCGTGTGGGGAGCTCCATGTGTCATGATTCCCAACCTCTTCAAGCAGGAGGGCCACTGTGTGATCCCACTGGGGGATGTGCTGGTGCTGGGATCCACAACATGCACAAATGATAACTTCAAGAATGAGGCAGGGGCTGGTGGGAACTGTGCCTATCTCTTCCGGTTTATTTATGCTTACAGCATCCTTTGGCCATGCAAAAATCTCCAGATGTTTAGCAGATTATTGAGACAGCTGGAAAAGCTGCAGGCTGAGGAAGCAGCTCCAGTCCCTGCAGTGTGAGAGTGTATCTAAGGCTGAGCACAGCTGGCTGGGGAGTGTCTCCTATGTTAGTCAAATGAAACAACTCCAAACAACGTATAGCACAACTAAAGTTTTCTTCCCCCTGTCCAGGGCCTCATATTGGATGTCACATGCTCTCTTTCTGGACATTATAGTGTTTACTCCTTGTTTCCTTAGGGAGCAATCAAATCACTTGATCAACATGCAGCTTAGTACAGCAGGGTCCATAACCATCCATGCCCAGGGCTCAGCCCTTTCCACTGAAGGCAGGAGGACAAACTTTCTCTGGTCTGTTTGGAAGCTTGCCAGTTCCAAGTCATCCCAGTTAAGTTTTTCACACTAGTTTTATCTGCCAGAGTGAATTTGCAATGTGCTGTATCACTGCTGTGCCCGTCCTGGCATGTGAAGCCTAGAGGTGGGTCTACCCCACTGGTAGCTTTTAAAGGTAACCACAGAAGGCAGCTGGTCTGCTCTCATCTTCTTCTGGCCCTCTGGACTGGTAAAAACATTGTGCCAACTCGTAGACTGGGATAGCTCTTAAGTGTGAGTTAATGACAAGATTATAGTGGGGAGACATCAACACCCTCCCTGCGCTGGAACTTGGGTGCAACAGCAGCAACAGAGTTTTAGCCATATCTGATGTGGGTTTGGAAGCCTGAGGGGAAACCTGCCTAAGAGAGAAGTGCATGAGAGGTTTAAAAGCCAAAGGCAGCCTTCAGAACCCTTGTCACCCTGTGGTGCCTCCCCATCTGCTGTGACCTCTGCTCTTGCAGCAACCCACTTTCTCCTTCCCCAGCAGGGGCTCTGCTCATCATTGCTCACGTTGTCTGAACAAGAGGTCTCTTCTCTGCCAAATCCCTTCATGTTTCCTCTGTGAACCAAATCTGACTTCCATCACTGGGAATATTTAATACATATGTGATGAAATAATGACATTTCTGCCCCTAGGAAGGCTAAAAGGGTCAGCACCAGGGAGAATAGAAAAACGTACTCAAAGACAATGCTGGACACAAATACGTGTAGACTAAAAATCCCCCGAAGGGACAAGTAGCAAGGGAAATTCCATGACCCTGAAACTCCTTTCCATCCTGATTTCCAAGTACCAGCACGCAGGAGAGGAAGAGAAAAGGAGGGAGAAGACATGCTTGTGTTTGCAAGGGTCTGGAGTGTGCCTTTGCATTGTTTAGTGGTAATCTGTTTCTCA